TTAGTTCTGTTGGTGGTTTCTCTTGCAGTGCAGAAGCTTTTTAAAAAGAGATCCCAGTTGTTGAGTCTTTGTGCTAGTTTCCATGCTACCCAGGATTTGTTCATAAAGTCTTTTCCTATGCTAATGTCTTCAAGAGTTCTACCTAGCTTATCTTCCAGCAAGTTTAGTGTTTCTAGTTTAAAATTTAGATCTTTAATCCACTTTTGATTTTAGTTTAGTGCATGTTGAAAGACAGGTTTAGTTTTAAACTTTGGGAAGTTGAAATCCAGTTTTTCCAACACCATTTATTAAAGAGGCTATCTTCCCCACTACCATGAGCTGACTGGTGAGGAGTGGAGCTATACAGGTATCTGTAGCACCACTCCAGAGTTCCCCTCCCACCCCAGGCTCTGGCCTCTTGGCTGTGCCTGTACCTGGATCCACACCACAGAGGCACAGTGGGTCATAAAGGGCATTGTCCTGAGATCCAGAAGATAGAGCAGAAGTGAACAAGCAGAAGTGAACAACAGAAAGAGGGCCTTACTCCTTCTAAGTCCTCATCCCAAGGGTATAGTTCCTATATTGAAGAGTTTATTCACTATAAACATATTTTGGGCTAGTCTTCGTTTTTGATTTAATTCACACAGGTAAAGGTGACAGATTAATAACTACCACAAAATGCCATTTTTCTAAACTATGCTTGATATTAATTCTTGTTGCTGATTGTATCACTTTGGCTAAGGTGTTGTGATTGATCTAATTAGCTATCCTTCCGGGTATGATGAAAATGAGATTCCCCCAGAGTCATTAGAGACTCAAAACCTAAAGACCAGCTATATCTGGAAGACACCTCTGAGAAGGAATCATTCCATAAGGGTTCTAGATACAAGCAACAATGACACTTAAATTATCAAAGTCTCAATCCAGGAATTAAACCAAGGACTGTACCAACAACAAAAATAGAAATGAGAAGACATTTAATCAAGGCACAAGCCCAGTCTTCCAGCTTACCAAAGGCAAATTCTGGAGGAAATGAGGTGGAAGAGCCTGATAGTCAAGCACCTGGACACCCTGAACTGATAGCACAGGAAATAACAAAACAGATGAATGAGGCTCTAGAAAAATTCAGAACAGAAATAATATCCAAGATAACTTAAGAGATGGTGAGCAGATTAAAAGACATGATTGGAGACTCTAGAACAGGAACATATTTTAAAAAATAGATGAGTTCAGGACCATGTTGGAAGCCAAGAATGCCCAGCATAGGAAAGAAATGGGAACCATGAACACCCAACATATGAAAGAAATGGAATCAATGAAACAGATTCAAACAGATATATAGAAGATTAAGAATTCTATTGAAAGTATACACAGCAGACTGAGCCAATCTGAAAATATAATATCAGATATAGAAAACATGATGGCAGTCAGTGACCATGAAAAGAGAGATCTCTTAACAATAGTAAGGGACCATGAGAAATCAATCCAACAGCTCCTAGATGATGCAAAGAAGATTAATATAAGACTGATAGGAGTCCACGAAAAAGCAGGAGAATGTACAAGTGACATAAAAAATTGTTCATAGAATTAATGACAGACAACTTCCCAAACAGAGCAAAAGAATTTGACATACAGATAAGTGAGGCATATAAGACTCCAACTAGCCATGATAAAAAAAATCTACATCTAGACATATATAATCAATATCCAAGAAACCCAACAGAAGAACAAAATACTACAAGCAGTTAGAGAAAACAAACAAATCACATGCAAAGGAAAGCCCATCAGAATCACAGACTTTTCGATATAAATTCTCAAGTCATGGACAGCCTGGAGTAAAGAATTTGAAGCCCTAAAAGAAAACCACCTCCAGCCTAGACTGATGTATCCTGCAAAACTATCTTTCAAAATTGATGGGGAAATAAGATATTTCTATGACAACACCTGAGAAACTTCATGAATACCAAACCAGCACTCCAAACAATATTTTAAAATGTCCTAGAAAAAGACAATGAAGATCACAACTCCATGAGGCCCAACAGAGCAAATCAAAAATATTTCATTAGGCAAGGCAAGAAATTAAAGGGAGAGGGAGAAAAATAAAAAATAAAAGAGCCAACAACAGGAAAATAACATGACAATGATAGGTCGTACATATCAGTTATAACTGTCAATGTTAATGGCCTCAATTCACCAATCAAAAGAAAACAGACTGGCAGAATGCATTAAGAAGCAAAACCCAACAATATGCTGTATACAACCTAGTTCAAAAAGAAACTCATAGACTGAAAGTAAAAAGATGGAAAACAGTTCTCCATGTGACAGGAACCTGGATAAAAGTAGGGGTAGCTATCTTATTTACAGCCAAAGTAGATTGCAAACCAAAACTAATTAAGAGGGACAAAGAAGGTCTCTACATCCTTGTAAAGGGAACAATCCAAGAGGAAGAGGTGATAATAGTAAATATAAATGCACCAAATACTAATGCCCCAAAGTATATGAAACAAATATCAATGGACACGAAAAACCAAAGAAGCACTAATACAATTGTAGTTTGGGACCTCAGTATCCCACTGTCACAAATAGATCATCTAGACAAAAAAAATCAACAATGAAATACTAGAACTGAACCAAGCTTTTGAACAAATGGACTTAATAGTCTACAGAGTGTTCCGCCCCACAAAATCAGAATATACATTCTTTTTGGCTGCACATGGGTCATTCTCCAAAATAGATCACATACTAGTTTATAGAACATGTTTAAATAAATGGAAAGGAATTTAATTTAATTGAAATAAACCCAAATGGAATGAGATTTATTTGAGAACACTAACAATGCACCTTAATATGGGCGACAGAACTGTCCATCCTCTCAACATACCTATCAATAATTTAGGACATTTATGAAACCATAAAATTGTTAGTTCAAAGTCACTGTGCTTAAGTTTTCTGATCATCAGTTTTTGTTTTGTTTTCATTAAATTTATTGGCACATTTTAGGAATACAGTACAGTTACATTCATCACTGGGAGCTTGTACCTTTACATATGATGTATCTTGGTTCTTATTTTTTCCCCATCCCCCTCCATTCACCCCCATCCCTCCCTATTTACAAGGACTTTGTTTCCATTTTTTCCTTTCCTTTCTTTCCTTTTCCCCACCCCTTCCACTTCCCCTACCCCTTTGGACCTTTTCTTCCTATTTCACGTTATTAATAATACATTTTGATACTTATTTACACTTTCAGTTTCTCACACCAGAGAAACTATTTAGTATTTACACATGTGTGTCCTATTTATTTCACTTAAGAATATGGCCTCAACGTATTGCACTTGAGTTTTGAAGTGAGGATGATACATTTTTATTACATTAACTTTATGGTATACCCTTGGCATGTGTATCTCTATTTGTTTTTTACCTAACATACATGGTAAGGTTAAAACTTCTCTAAAATTTTCACTTAGTAGGGCTAAATGATAAATTGTTCACTTGTGGCCTCAAATTTCTCCTCGTACTGTACAACTTCTCAGCTTTGAGTATCACATTGTTCTTGTTTCATACGGACCAACCACAAATATGATCTTTTTAGTGATTAGTTCCCTCATCAGAAGTAGGCAGAAGGAAGTGCTCAGTGTTTGCTGCTACAAGTTTCCTAAATTTACTTCCAGCACTGAGTATCTAATCTTATTTTCTTTTACTATGCTCTGCAGAATAGGAATATCGTTGTCTCTAACGTTTACCATAGGCATACCCTTTGTGTTGAGTCCTACCTCTTTTGTGATAAAGAGGGAAATATTAAAGGAAAAAACCTTTAAACATAAGAGAGCTTTCTGGTTGGATTTCATTATGCTACTTCCTGTGTGACACCATTAAATACCATCAAAGACTTTGGTAGCTCAGAGTAATTTATAAATAATGTCTCATTCTTTACATGATGTGTGTTATGCAAGAACATGATTATATGTGAGCTTTGTATTCTTTTCTTTCCTTCCCTTATGTATCACTATTTCTTTTTTGTTTTTGTTATTGAGTTTTGTTTGTTTGTTTTGGTACCAGAGATCAAACTCAGGATCTTGCACTTCTGAGGCTGGCAACGGCATCATTGAGCTAAATCCTCGGCCCTGTATCACTATTTCTTATTCCCACCTTACAGAGAGATTATAAATAAGAAATAATCATTCATATATTGTTTTTTGTATGCTCTGCAGCTATGGGGTATTATAATCGATCATAATGTGCCTTATTGTTTAACAGAAATAACTCCGGTTCTTTCAGGAAAGAGTGATTCTATTTTATCCAAAGAAATTACTAATGGAAAAAGCAAATGGTGAATTGTGTTGAAAATGTCCTATCAACCTGCCTAATTCATTCATGTAATGATGATAGATTTGTTTCTTGAGCTACCTTCTGCTTCTATCATTCTGTAATTATGAATATTCAAATTGGATCACTGCAGTACAGATTGCTTTGAACACTGAGTTATTCCTGTCTTAATAGTAGGGCACCTACTTCTCCAGGTTCATTTCATGCTAATCTTTCTCTGGATCAGGTGTTAGCAAACTTTTTCTATAAACAGCCAGATAGCAAGTATTTTAGGCTCCCAAGTCATTTGTTCTCTTGCAACTAAGCAATTAGTTTTTAAAATAGTTCCTGATATTTATTAACAATAGGAAATAGAGTTTGTCCCATTATACTTGAAGAATTGGGTAGAGTGCAGGAGGTATTTTGTTGACTGACAGGAACTTAATTAAATTGATAAGATGTTCAAATTCACAAGATACCTAGAATTCCAGTGTGAAATGACTTGGTTTAACTGGTAGGTGATCCTGGGATGCCACCTAGAAAGGCACCATATAGAAAGTCTCTGGAAGTGAAGGAATGACTCCCCCATCGCATCCCAGAGCGAAAGACCTTAGCCTTCATGGGGATTCAGGCTAACTACCTGAATCATTGTCCAGGAGCTGTGCCCAGTTCAGACACCTCCTAGGTAAGTGCAGATAGCTAAAAGTTAGCAATATCACCTTGGGATGAGGTAGGTGGTGATGACAGTAGTAACTCAAGGCTTTGGCAGACAGATGCAGATGTGGTAGTCTTTTTCACAAGTCTTTTCACTCTTGTGTTGCAGAATTAGAGAGCAATAGACCTGTTGTAAAGAAATGAGTGGGAACATATTTCTAATAAGACTATTTATAAAAGCATAGGTGGGATTTAGCTTGAGACCATAGTTTGCTCTGTGTCATTCTATGTTGGCCACATTAACCATATTTACTCTCCAGTTCTTCAAACAAGAAAGCTCTTCTCACTTTAGGTGCTATCCTAACACATGGAATATTCTTATACTTTCTTTTCTATGTTATTTACCTGTTGTCTTCCTTTTGGTTTCAGATAAACTGAACCCAGGTTCAGAGGGTGACATACATTTTGTTTTGCCTGAAGCAGTTCCAAGTTCAACTTTTGTCCCATTGTGATTACTGATGTGTTACCTGTCACTTCCAAATGTGATATGCTTGAGATAATAACTTACTGGTATCCCTGCAGGAAGAAAAGGTCCAAAGGAGAAGAGGAAGACAGAGGGGTAGGGGAAAGACAAGAAGGGAAAGGGATAAATATGAGAAAAGGAAAAAAAAAGAAACAAAGTCTTTGTAAATAAGGAGGGATGGAACGGTTGAATGGAGGGCAAGGGAATAGGGAAAAAATAAGAGCCAAGATATATTATGTAAAGGTACAAATTCCCAATGATGAATGACATCATATTGTATACCTAAAATTTACCAATAAAATTAATGAAAAATATCTTATAGTTCTATGTCCAGCTTCTAGTGCAATCTGTCGCAAGATGTGAGTGCCAAAGGCTCCACCCCTATGACACTGTTGGTGATTGTAGCTCCATGGCTTCTCTCTTGGGCCATGGGCCGGCTCTGTACTCTCCTTGGAGTTTTCCTCAGATGATCCACATTCTTGGATTTTCCAACATTCCGAGGTCTGCACTGCACCTTTGGCTTCACACCCACAACTATACACACTTCCCTCTTAGGGCCACATTTATTGGCCTCCTGGGCCTTCTTCTGAAATCTGGGCGGAAGCCTTTCTGACTCCACAACTTGTATTTTGCATACACTTAAAACCAGCACCGTGTGGAATATGCCAAGGTCTGCCACCAGCTGGAGCAGTAGTCAGGCTTCCTTCTTTCTTGCCTGTAGGGGTTGAGTGCCTGGATTATTGAACACTAAGAATCAAATCCTTTGGAAAAACTCTCCTAGGCCACTGCCATTCCAGAACATAGTGCTCTGGGGATTTCTTCTCAAAGCATGTCTTTCACCTTTGGAATTTTGAGCCTATAAAGCCTAGAGTCCTGCTGGTTCTTGTGATGTCCTCAGACCATCTTTTCTATTGTCCTGTTCCTTTTCAGCAACCAAGTTCTCCTTTTCTCCATCTTTGCAATCTACAACTGTACCAGAATTTCCTTTCTGGCCAAATTCAAAATGTTTTAAATCATTCTGCTGGACTCTGCTCTTCATTCACAACATAAATCTAGCTAAAAGCCCCCAGCAGTAACTATGCTATGGCCTCAATATTAGACTACCTTGCAATTTCTTCTGCAAGATCAATTGGTCTGCTTCTCTTAATCTCAGTCTCAGGAAAAGTCTCTGGACATGAACAAAATACAGACAAACTTTCTGCCAGAGCATAACACACATCATTTGGAGTCCAACAGCCAAAACATTCCTTCTTCACAACAGAAACCTCCCGAGCCTGGTCTTTATTGGCAGCATTTCTATCAGCATTTTGGTCTTCTGAGCTCTGACCAGAATCTCCTATCAAGTACAACTTAAAGCATTCTAGGGCTGCTTCTTCAGCCAGCATCTCAAAACCTTTCCAAATTCATCCCACAGTTTAGTTCCAAAGGCTCCTGAACCATGTGGTCAGGTATAGTCACAGCAATGACCGTACTTCACTGGTACCAAAATCTGTCTTAGTTACTTTTCTTATTGCTGAGACAAGACACTAAACACCCAATGTTAAAGGAGGGAAAGTTTCTTTTGGCTCAGTTTGTAGAAGTTTCAGTCCTTAATCAGCTGGCTCCAAGGCAGGGTGGCACAGCAGAAGGGCATCACAGAGCAGGCAGCAGACAGCAGCAGTCAAGCAGCAGCAGCAAGTGATGGCAGCAGCTGTCTTTTCTGTCCTTTATATTCCATCCGAGTATTTGTAAGGGCGGTTATCATTTACACTCAGGATAGTGTACCCTTAACCCCATCATCACGCCAGTAATCCCAGAATCACGTCCTGGATCCAGGCACTTCCAAAGAGCCCCACCTCTGATCACATATGAATCTTTGGGAGACATCTAGATACAAGCCATAACAACCTTACACTCAAAACCATTGAATGATTACATAATCACTTCTTAAATGTTTTTTCATTTGGACAATTTAAAAATCTTCACTAAATCATTACCTCCAATGAGAAAAAATCCTTTTACTTTGCTTACAAATTTTTACCAGTTGTTATAGATTTTCCTTCACCCTTAATAGGGAACTGGTATGAAGTTTTCTGAGTTGATTGACCTAACAAGACTAAGCTTTGGATTTTTTTTTTCTTAATGGCTCCTCCTCCATTTACCTCAATGGATTTCTGGATGAGGTGTTATGGGTACCACAATATTAAGACCGTCTTGGACTGTCAGAAAATGGTAGTGTTTTCAATAAACCTAGTTTAATCTCAGCCATGTTATTTTCCTCCAGGAAAATGTAACCTATGTTTTAGCTGAGAATCTTTTTAAAATCCTCAATATCTGTATCATACCTTTCTTCTGTTATTTCTTTACCAATGATAACTTTTCTTACTATAAAAGGAGATAATTTTTTGTTGTTTCCAGAAAGGTTGATAAAAATTCCATCTGCTTAAAATTGTTAAATGAACGTAGTTATGTACACTGTGAATAACAGTTTTGCATAAGTATGAAAAACACAAATAACAACATCAGGTTTTTAGGTGGTCTTAAATTGTGAGAATGTATTTGCTTCTATAGCTAAAAACTGCATGAATGTATGTACTCTTGTTAATTAAAATTAATTTTTATCTCAAATCTATAAAGAACTTAAAAGATCAGAACTCCCAAATTTAAAGACCCAATCCAAAAATGGGCATCTGAAATGAAGAGACATTTCTCAGACAAAGAATTAGAAATAGCAAATAAGTACATGAAAAAATGTTCAACATCACTGGTCATTTGAGAGATACAAATGAAAACAACACTGAGATTCCACTTCACTCCAGAAAGAATGGCTGCTATCATGAAATCAACCAATAACAAATGCTGGCGGGACTGTGGGGAAAG